TTCTCAAATTCGATGACGGCAGTGATATAACCAAGGCTCTGGGACTAGTCTGGGATCCGTTCAAAGACACTCTGTTGTTTTCGTTTTCGCCGATCAGATCTGGCAGAAATTCCAAACGCTCTGTATTAGCTACCATAGCTCGTTTTTACGATCCACTTGGCCTACTAGGCCCCACTCTGACAAGGGCGAAAATTCTTTTACAGCGAATGTGGAGGGATAAGCTCGCGTGGGATGAAAGCTTGCCCCATTCACTGGATACGGCCTGGTCTACGTTTTGTGAAGATTTCGTCAACATTCAACATTCGTCATTTCCGCGCTATGTATTACAGCCTGGAGCCGCGCTTGAAATTCATGCGTTTTGCGACGCTAGCCTTGAAGCATATGGCGCTTGTGTATATGCTCGCTCAACTAAGGATAACAACGTCCAATTACAGTTGCTATGTTCAAAGGCACGCGTTGCTCCACTGAAAACTCTGACTGTGCCCAAGTTGGAACTCAGCGCTGCCGCTCTGCTTGCGCAGTTAGTTGGTGAGATAGCCAAGATGAAGGTTTTTGACTGCCGCTTCTATTGTTGGTCAGATTCGCCGATCGTTCTATCATGGCTGCAGGAAGAATCTTCAAAATTTAACGTTTTCGTCGCTAATCGAATATGTGCTATACAGGAGCTTACACAGGGGATGACTTGGCACTATGTTCCTACAGCCATGAACCCAGCAGACATCCTATCCAAAGGGGCCGCACCAAGAGAGCTCTTGCAATCAGCTCTTTGGATGCACGGTCCAATATTCTTGCACAAAGCAGAAATCAGCTGGCCTGAATTTCGCGAACCACAAACCAAGCTTTTGGAAACTCGTCAAAAGGTATTACTCACATCAAATGATCGACCCGACGTATCTCTTTCATTTAAGTACATCAACTCGTTTGGCAAAATGCAGCGTATTTTTGGTTACGTAAGCAAATTTATCAATATAAAAAAATTGCCAAGGACGTCGCAGCTCACGTCTCGGGACATTCATCATGGGGTTCAGTTGTTAATTCGCATCGTTCAGAGAGCGCAGCTTTGGTCAGATTACGTCGCTCTGAAAAATAAGAGGTGTGTCTCATCATCTAGCAGCATCTCTTCATTATCACCATTTTTAGATGACATCGGTCTGATTCGAGTTGGCGGTCGCCTGAGGCATTCAACTATTGGCTTTGAAGCGCGTCACCCGTGTATTCTACCAAAGAATCATCCGCTGACGTTCTCCATAATTGCACATTTTCATCACAAGCATCATCATGTAGGGCCGCAGTCATTACTTGCAGCCATTCGCTTGCAATACTGGCCCATAGGTGGCAGAAAAACTGTCGCCCACGCCCTCGGTAAATGCATTATATGTTGTAAATCGAGACCGCGACTCGTCTAGCACATCATGGCTGACTTGCCTAAGGATCGCATTGCGGCCTCACGCGCCTTTATTGTCACTGGTGTAGACTATTGTGGGCCGTTCTATTATAAGCCAGAAATGCGTAACAAGTCCCCTCAAAAATGTTACGTTAGCGTTTTTATCTGCTTCGCAACAAAAGCCGTCTGGATGGAGTTAGTGAAGGACTTATCGACCAGCGCCTTTATCGACGCCCAGCTGCATTTGGTCAGATAATGCAACAAACTTCGTAGGCGCAAGAAACGAGTTGAGTGATTTGCGACGCCTATTTTTAAGCGAGGAGCATCGCAGCGAGATCTATAACCACTGTCTCAACAATGGGTTTGATTGGCGATTCATCCCGCCCCGCTCGCCGCACTTCGGCGGCTTGTGGGAAGCAGCCGTAAAAACAGCTAAGCAGCACTTTTATCGTTCGGTTGGCTCTTCACTTCTTGGCTTTGACGAATTGCGCACTCTGGTATGTCAAATCGCTGCTGTTATTAATTCTCGTCCTCTTGTACCACTTTCAGAAAATCCAGCGGATTTAGACGTATTGACGCCAGGGCATTTCCTGATTGGTGGTCCACTAATAGCTCTACCTGAACCTGACCTGAGACATTTAAATTGTAATCGTCTTGACCGATGGCAGCGCGCAACTCACGTGCACCAAATTTTCTGGAATCGGTGGAGTCGAGAATATCTCACTCTCCTCCAGCAACGAGCGAAGTGGCGCACACCTCAGGCCAGCATTCAAGTGAATGATATCGTATGCGTCAAGGACGAAAACTCACCGCCTCTGAAGTGGCCCCTGGCCCGTGTAATCGAGGTTATCCCTGGAGCTGATGGTGTAGTACGAGTGGCAGTTTTACGCACGTCTAGTGGAACAACCCGTCGAGCAGTGAACAAGCTGTGCGTCCTTCCAGTAAACGATACTGTTGAAAGCCCTGACCTTTCAACGCGGGGAGTATGTTCGGAGCAGCAGCCGATAATGCAATCAACATAAATCATTAGCCTCACATCGCAATATAAAGCGTTACATTTAAGCTTCAAATATTTTTATCATTTTGTTTAAACTTCTAAACATTTTGTACCACCCTAGCATAAATATTCCCAGTCCACTATTGAACATATGTACATTATTATTGTAAAACCACTCACTTTATATTCCAATTGCAAAACATATGAGCATATATGTACATGGAGGAGGGTAATTACTTGGGCTCATACATACTACTATACTGGACGAATGCAGGCGAACGGGATATGATGTGTACATAGTATGTACAACTGCTGTGGCTCTTAAGGCGGGCGTACAAGCATGTACACATATCCATAAAAAACGGTCCATATGTATATCAAATAATGAGAGCATGTAAAAAAAGAACCAGTTTAACTATGTATTACTTTTTATCGCTCGAGGCTCTTATCTGCATAGAATTAAATATCACCGTTGTAAACTCCGTAATTCCCCTTTATGCTCACTATTAAGAACAAACATTTTGTACATAATGTATACATATATACCTACACTAATAGGCTATTGCTCATGCGGAATTAAGATTTGCAATCATTCGATTTTGGCAATAGAACTGAGCAGCAGCTCAGCAGCGGCATAGGTGCATTTTATAGTTTAAGCTCACGGCAACATCATCGTTTAGAATTCGAAATCAAAAATTAAATAAAAATTAAGTTGTTTCAACAAATCAAAGGTGTTGACCTTTTTTTGTTAATTTGGAGTTTAATAGCTGCAAAAAAACGCTTTGCAGCTCAACATTTGGTGACCCCGACGTGATCGCCGTGCGTTTTTGGTGGAATTGTACTTTTCGATATTTGGGAGATTAAACTGTGTGCATAACGCTTTGTACATAATAATATACTCGTATACGCCTATAGCCGAAAATTTGAATCCGTTATTCAAGAGCACGGAACTTTGTGAAACTTGTAGCGTGATCTTGAAACAGTTAAACTGTTAGCTTACGTCTTCAGCATATTTTGTGAGCCGCTATTTCTGTTCATTTCCCACGCAACGGTTTCCAGTTGCGATTTTTCCCGAGTGTAGTACACATCACGCGCTGCCGATATAAATTCGACTTGAATCCATCATGACACTTAACCCAGCTAATGGTACTCCAGGTAGCGAAAATGCTGCTCAATCAAATGAACAGGTGGCCACAGATCGAGTTAGCTTTTTTAAGTTAAAAACAAAAGCAATATTCAACCGGCTTGAGCGAATTGCTGCCGAGATGGACAGTGATAAGCTGCACGGGATGGACGAATACGCTCTGACGGCACTACTGGACTCATTGGGGGAACTGAAGTCAAGTTTCAACGGTGCGCACACAAGCTTGGAGGAATTGGATTTCGATTCAATTTGCAGCGATCTGCCTGGTAAATTCGACTCCAATTTAGTTAACCTCAGATCCACTCTGCAGCGTGAAATTGGAAAGCGAAGTGCACCTCAGCTATGCTCCACATTCAGGGTTAACGCCAATGAGTCGCAATCAATTATAGTGAACACCTACCGATCACGCTTGCCGTTACTTACACTGCCAAAGTTCACTGGTGCCTATACTGAGTGGACAAACTTCTTCTCCATGTTCGTATCTGTCATCGACAAGGATAGCGACCTTACGCCGGTCGACAAGCTTCAACATCTACGTTCCTGCCTGAGTGGTGCAGCGCTGGATACCATACGTTCTCTAGAAATAAATGAGGCTAATTATAAAAATGCATTAGATCTTTTGCATAAGCGTTTTGATAATAAGCGTCTTATATTTCAGGCACACATCAGGGAGATCTTCGGGCTGGGCAAAGCAGATGGGTCAGTAGGCAGGCTACGGGAACTAACTGACAAAGTCACCGCTCACATACGTGCACTGCAATCGCTTGGGTCCAAGGAGCAAATATCCGACTGTATCATTGTACAACTACTAATACAGAAGTTAGACAAAGCGACTCAATCCAAATGGGAGGAGAATTCGCCGACAAACGAACTACCTTCGTGGGACCAGTTATCTACCTTTCTGGAGAAGCGCTGTAGAACGCTCGAAAACGTCGAACACGTTATGCAAACACCAGTTGGTCAAGCTGGTAAATCTGGTAAAAACGTGAGTACCAACCAAAGAAAATCATTTGTTGCTTCTGGTGGCTCAGTGGGCGGTTGCGTATTTTGTGGATCCTATGAGCATCTGATATACCATTGTCCTCGCTTTACAAATCTGTCGCCAAACCTCCGCCAAAAAGAGGTTAAACAACTCGCTCTATGTCTCAATTGTCTAAAAAAAGGTCATCAGATGCGCGACTGCAAATCGGGGTCTTGTCGTAACTGTCAATCAAAGCACCATACACTTTTGCACTTTGAGCGCTCTGCTCCAACTGCCACCAGCCCTCAAGGCTTAACTTTGAAATCCGCTACAGCCCAACCTAATGCCATGACTGCAGCCTTATCTGCCTCGTCCCAGGCCCTTACTTCTCCATCTGATGTTGTGCTTCTAGCCACTGCGGTAATTTTTGTAAAAAATCGTGCCGGCACTTTCGTACCTTGTCGTGCGCTGTTAGACTCTGGTTCACAGCTGCACTTTATCACCTCTCGTTTCACAAACCAGCTGCAGCTGCGCAAAACCAAAACCTTCGCTGGAGTATCTGGCATTGGCGACGTCAACTTTTCAACGGAGGGATACTCGGTCGATCTCGTACTGAAGTCGCGGACTTCTGATTTCTCGACGACTATTACTGCTGTTGTCGCACAAACGATCACTGAAAGTCAGCCTGGCCTTACAGTCAGCACCGTTAATTGGCGACTTCCCTCCAACATCCAGCTGGCTGATCCCAACTTCAACATACCACAGCGTATTGATCTGCTTATAGGAGCAGGACTCTTCTTCGAACTTCTCTGTGTGGGCCAAATTCAGTTGGCGCCTGGGCTGCCATTGCTTCAAAAAACTCGGTTTGGTTGGGTGCTGTCCGGTGGTGGACAACAAACGCCCAAACTCTCATCTTTCGTCGTACGTCAACGGCCATCTACTGACATTGATTGTAGTACTCGGCTAGATTATTTAGTGCGTCGTTTTTGGGAAATCGACCATGTAATTGAGCCAATCGCTAAAACAACAAAGGAAGAGCTCGACTGCGAAGAGCACTTTAGGCAAAATTATTCGCGTCTGTCTTCAGGCGAGTATTCCGTGCGTCTGCCGATGAAGAGTAGCGTGGAGTCACTAGGTGATTCGTATTTACAGGCACTACATCGCTTTCGCAGTCTTGAACGAAAACTGACTCGCAATCCACAGCTCAAGGAACAATATGTGGCATTCATTAACGAATATTTGGATCTCAACCACATGTCACTAGTCTCCAGTAAGGATGTTCATGACTGTAAGTTTTTCCTTCCACATCACTGTGTCATCAAGGATGACAGCACTACAACAAAGCTGAGAGTTGTATTTGATGGCTCTGCAGCTACAACTTCGGGCTTGTCGCTGAACGATCTGCTCATGTCAGGTCCAACAATACAACCGAAGCTTTTCAACATCCTCATTAGATTTCGATCGTTTCCCGTCGCACTTACTGGAGACATCTGCAAAATGTATAGATGCGTTCGAGTCACTGCACCAGACGACATGCTCCAGTGTATACTATGGCGTGACTCTCCACAACATGACCTACGCGTGTACAAGTTGAATACGGTGACCTATGGAACTAAGCCTGCATCATTTCTGGCTATTCGGGCCATGCATCAGCTCGCGTTTGATGAATCATCAGCATATCTCCTGGGTTCAAAGGTCGTTCTTCGAGACTTCTATGTGGATGATATGATATCTGGTGGTAATTCAGTGCGGGAAGTGCGAAACATTATGCAGCAAACAACAGGTTTCTTTCTCGACGTAATTTCCAATTACGGAAATGGTGCTCCAACAGCCCTGATGTTCTCGGCGATATTTCCCAAACAGAAAGAGAAAGCCTTCTCAAATTCGATGACGGCAGTGATATAACCAAGGCTCTGGGACTAGTCTGGGATCCGTTCAAAGACACTCTGTTGTTTTCGTTTTCGCCGATCAGATCTGGCAGAAATTCCAAACGCTCTGTATTAGCTACCATAGCTCGTTTTTACGATCCACTTGGCCTACTAGGCCCCACTCTGACAAGGGCGAAAATTCTTTTACAGCGAATGTGGAGGGATAAGCTCGCGTGGGATGAAAGCTTGCCCCATTCACTGGATACGGCCTGGTCTACGTTTTGTGAAGATTTCGTCAACATTCAACATTCGTCATTTCCGCGCTATGTATTACAGCCTGGAGCCGCGCTTGAAATTCATGCGTTTTGCGACGCTAGCCTTGAAGCATATGGCGCTTGTGTATATGCTCGCTCAACTAAGGATAACAACGTCCAATTACAGTTGCTATGTTCAAAGGCACGCGTTGCTCCACTGAAAACTCTGACTGTGCCCAAGTTGGAACTCAGCGCTGCCGCTCTGCTTGCGCAGTTAGTTGGTGAGATAGCCAAGATGAAGGTTTTTGACTGCCGCTTCTATTGTTGGTCAGATTCGCCGATCGTTCTATCATGGCTGCAGGAAGAATCTTCAAAATTTAACGTTTTCGTCGCTAATCGAATATGTGCTATACAGGAGCTTACACAGGGGATGACTTGGCACTATGTTCCTACAGCCATGAACCCAGCAGACATCCTATCCAAAGGGGCCGCACCAAGAGAGCTCTTGCAATCAGCTCTTTGGATGCACGGTCCAATATTCTTGCACAAAGCAGAAATCAGCTGGCCTGAATTTCGCGAACCACAAACCAAGCTTTTGGAAACTCGTCAAAAGGTATTACTCACATCAAATGATCGACCCGACGTATCTCTTTCATTTAAGTACATCAACTCGTTTGGCAAAATGCAGCGTATTTTTGGTTACGTAAGCAAATTTATCAATATAAAAAAATTGCCAAGGACGTCGCAGCTCACGTCTCGGGACATTCATCATGGGGTTCAGTTGTTAATTCGCATCGTTCAGAGAGCGCAGCTTTGGTCAGATTACGTCGCTCTG